TTATGTCCTTATGATTACGCTTCATCTGAAAAGTGGGTAGTTCTCCAAAGCGAGCTCTTTCAGTAAACACGAAGGGGAGTCACATCAACAAGGGACTGTAGTTTCAAATTGCTCTTTAATGCACTTTTAATATCTAAGTTTGATTCTAGCGGACTTCTGCTATCTCCAGACATCGAAACATGTTCCTTTTCATGTTTGTTTCCTGAGGTTTGTGATTTGGTGAGATTTTGCGTTTTTGGGGGCACCAAGATAATAAGTCAACAATATGGGGATCGTGAGGCTGGAACTTTAGCAGAACAATTTTGCTTGAGGTTGACAGATAATATGTAGAAAAATATAGCATTAAAACAGATGTATTTTATATCATTTTCTATAGGTGAGGCTGAATACTTTTGAACGCATCTCGTATGTATCACGTCCTTTAATTGTAATGAATAATACATTTTGTTCGAAACAATGGCACTAATAGCAAGCATTACATAATTCCAAAATATTGGTTTCTTCTGGGTTTGGTATTAAATACATACAACAAGAAGACAAAGTCATCAATATCCCGGAGCAATGGTAAAATACTCTTTATGCATATGTCTACTAGTTATGACTATGTAAAATGTTTTGGCGTGTATATAGCAAAGTTGAAGAACTACCCCCAAATTCAGTCGAAGCCAAACCTGCTGCCATGGAAACGTAAAATATTAATCCAAAGCTACCAAAAGGCACCTGTTTAACACCAGACCTAACTATGTGCAAAGTTTGGTGAAGAAATAGTTAACGGTTTTAAAGTTCTGCTCGGAAAAGACGAATGTGCGCGGACGGACGGACGGACGGATTTGACGGATTTGGTGTCCATTGTTCCCCCAGCAAAACGCGCGTTGCAGGGGATAACAAAGATACCACATTAAGGAAGGTATAAAGTCTTTAAACTGTAGCAATTGTCACAATGAGGGCCGAGACAATCTGGGTATCCAATACCAACGGTTGCTCTGATTTGTCCTTTACCAATGCAAAAGTTGAGCTCAAGGGTGAGCCGATTAGATAGGCAAATAAAGTTAGAAGGTTAGGGTGCGGGATCCAAAGCCTATATAGTGTAATGGACTTGTACGGACCTTGCAGTCCCTTTGACTGAACATAGGAAGGTAAGGACATCTTTGTTTTTCTCAGAAGCCACAGAGATGGACTTCAACCTCTTGCTCCAATGTGAACAATCAACCAGGGCCTTCTTGCCTTCCGGAGTCCGTTAATGGCGTGAATGACCAAGGCAGACCGGAGATAAATCTAATGTACTCTCTTTTACAAGAACTACATTGCACATTATGTTACTTCCCATATTAGTTCCTCTGGCCGTAGAAACATTATTCAGCGTAAACATCGAACATGGCCAACACATACATATACCTGTAGACCTATAGCGTGCTTTGTCGGCAGAATTGTCCTTTTATCCCTTGTCCTCGTACATGTTGTTGATGTTGAAAGTGAGGTGTGTTTTCCTTTCAGTCACGATGAAACGTGTTCCACGTGGCGGCAGTCCTGGCGGTGGGGTCGGCGGTGGACGTCACCCTCAACAACCACTGAACGGAGGCTTCAGGCAAAGGCCTGCATTGGTATCACAAAGGAACTGCACTCCTGGACAGCACATCTTCGTTTTGACCAAGCCGTCGACAGCATTGACGTAAATAACTCGTTGCAAACGTAAATAGATTTCAAGTGACTATTTTACCTACATATTTATACACTTTTTTAATTGTATTCCCATATAAGCTATAACCAATCATACCACAGCAAGACGTGGGATGAAAGTGGGTCTCAAATGTTACCATGTGCACTGCAAGAGCTGACAAGTTCAGATCTCATCCAACTACTTTCCACAACGAAAGGATCATGACAAGATCTATACAGAGGGTCTCGATTCTCTTGTATCGTGCTACATAGTAACATATACATATTTTATTGTAAAACATATGATTGGGATGATCAGGTGAATGCTTTTGAAACTATCTGACGTCATTATGCATATTCCGGCTGGATCAGAGAGATCTAGATCATTGTTATTCTCTACCTTTGTCCTTAAATGCCATCGATCCTGCGGCAAAGACGCAGCTGCAGTTTGTCCAGCTACGCCAGCCACTTCCGGTTTTGAAGGTGGTGAATCTTAAACGCGGGTCTGGCCATTTTCATGTCTTCCGGTCGGCCCCAGAAACTGTGGTCTGCCCCTCCGTTTCCAACCTTCTCGATATACAGCAAACACTTGTAAACGCAATGTAGCTTAAGAACAGATACGCTTCTTTCATATTTGGCGCTTAAGAGTTCCATTTTGGTTGTGTGGAACTTTGAGGAGAGTAGTTGAGCGGCCATTGGGAGACTCCATCTGTACATAGAGTTCTAGGAGACGCCCTGTACATAGAGATCCAGAGGACTCCATCTGTACATAGAGTTCTAGGAGACTCCTCTGTACTGTAGTTCACAGGCCCGTGAGTTGAATTAGCCCCCAGAAAAAGGCGACTAACGATCGATTGGTCGTATCCTATTTACGTACATCGATGCTCATGCTGTTGACCACTGGATTGTCTGGTCCAGACTGATTATTTACATAAAGCAGAATATTGGTGAGTGCGGCCAAACAACAAACCAAATAGCAAGTTCTAAGGGACTTACCTGTACATAGAGTTCGTCTTGGCTGTGTGACACTTAAGGAGGTAGTCGAGCGGCCACTTGATGCTGTCCAGCATGTTGTCGTACTGGCTGGACTCCACGTACGCCTCCTTCCACTGCAGCAGACTCCAGGTGAGGATGGTGGTGACCACGACATGGGGAAGTTGAACTTGACGTGGTCACCAGCCAGGAAGATATGGACAGATTCACCAACCGTAACACTTCTGCTTAGTTAAAATTCAACAATCAGTAGCAGGACAAGACCAAACATCCATTCCTTCCCCTTTCCCTTGATTACATTTGAGGTTGTCACCAGCTCAGAGCATGATGGTGTTGATATCACATGTTTAGGGACGCAATTTACTTGACAACATCTCAGCAACGCCCTTCAACAATCGTTGACGCCATTATGCGATTTCATCTGGATGGCCTTATTTTATAAGATACTGACAAATTGCACGATGATGTACAGTTCAGTGGAGATACCGCCTAAGCTGACAAGATAACCCTGGATGTGAATTCGTCTTGATAGAAAGAGACACATGGATTGTCAAGTGGCAATAGAACTTCGTACCATCCTACCATCCTCCAGTGAGGTCCTCCCATTATCTCCCCCTGTCTCCTAGGGCTGAGTCTCCTCTCCAGGGATGGGGTTGCTTGGCCTGCAAGTTCAAGTTCTGACCTCTGAGCGCCATAGAAGAGAATGGACTTGTAGAGGACTCTCGTCGTAGTTGTAATTTGGTGCCTCCGGCTGTTTATAGGATAGGTAAGCTGTTAAACATGTGTTTATTTGTGAAAACAGGAATCTGTAGATCACCTGCAATTAAATAATAATTTGCATAACTGACATATTTGTTTGAGATTTGCCTATTTTACTTTCTTTATATTTACTTCCTTGGCACTATTGCTGGATTGTCATATAGGTTCACTTATAAACATGCCTCCCTTCTTAAACATTCATGGGTTATGTGAGAAGGCACTTGCTGTTTTTGACATTAGGGAATCCATTGTCGTCGTGGCCGAGGTTGGTGAGTGTAGCAACAGCAGATGGGGCGGACGACGCCTGTGTGTTGCCGAAGAAGCGGAGTTTGATGGTGTCCCCTTTGTCAAAGAAGACATGATCCTGCTTGTTGATGACCACCCAGGTTTTACCATCGGCAGACTTTTTGTATACATCAGCTACCCACATCTGTATATCGTACACATGAGTTAAAAGAAATACTATAACATTGACTTTCACCCAATAAAGTCATCATCATCATCATCATCATCATCATCATCATCATCATCATCATCGCTACTCAATCATTCTTTTGATATCATTATCACTACTTAATCTTTCAATAATATAATCCCCATGAAGAATGATTATAACAGACAGTTGGGGAGAACATGCATCTTCATGTTACATCGTGGGAAGAAATTTACAATGAAAGAGAACCCATACACATGTTGTTACACTACGAAACTCTATACGGTTATTGTATCCACAAACTTACATCCAGTTTGTCCACAGGCTCTGAAAAGTTGATGGCTACTTCCCACCCCTCTATCCTCTGGTGGACAGGAAAACTAAACTCGGCTTCGAATCTGTTACCCCAGTCGTTGTATATCTGCATCTTGTTGGTGATAACTTCCTCACCGCCACCAATACCGGTGCCTTATAACAGCATGCATGTATTTTGAAAGATATATTTTCTTGACAATGTTCAAAGTCTCACACATTTCAGAACATAATTATAACGACTGCTATTCTGTGTTAGCATAGTATGGAAGTAACATAGTTAAACACCACAAATCCTATCAAAGTTATGAAATGGTTATTTCATAAGAGACATTTTAATTCGAATACTGTGGATTGGGTGGCTGGTTGTGACTTGCTGGTATGTCAACCTCCTCTGTCAATGAATCTGAACTACAAGTCTTACTTCAGGTTAAGCCACGACACAAATGAAGCCCATTTCTGGTGTCCCCTGCCGTGATATTGCTAAAACATTGCTAAAGCTGGCGTAAACGTAATCTCACTCACTCACTCACTCACTCTACGCGACAACAGCTACATATAGATGGAGGCAGATATTGAAGACTGATTATTTCCCTGAACTTCGGGAGACATTGTTTGATACCTGATGTCACAAAAGGAGCTGACGTGGCACCGACGCCGGACGTTGCACCGATGCTGGTAGGTGTCGCCCACTACTTCCTGGAAGTAGGGAGTTTTGTGGTCCAGCCGTAGGCGGCTGATCAGTAGGACCGTCCATACCGGCGATGTAGACTGTGGCGGAAGGGATAATATTGCCATCCGTTTTACCCAGAAGGTTGATACAGATCTTAGGGAGCCAACATTCTTCTTTGTTCCAGTCTTTGTTGTGCATGATGAACTCAGTGTTGTTGTTTCTGGTCTCCACAATTTCAGCAGCTTGTTGCACCTTCAGATATATATATATAGCATCGCTAGTCCGGATAATCATTGTGGGTAGGATATCAACATAGCAAAATGTCACCCCGACGTGACCTTGGCATGTTATTATAGGTATTAATGTTTTTTATAGTTTATAGTTTTAGTAGTTTATATCACAACTAATCTGTCTGAAAATAATTTCACCAGGACCAGACGATCCAGTGGCTGACTTCGATCACCACAACTGGGGTACGATGACACACATCCAGCGAGCACGGTGTCCCGATCCTGTTAACCGTCTCTTACTACAAGCATGGGTCCAAGCCTGTGCATTTTTACTTGAAACGCTACTGTCCAAAATACCATATTTCCTCTAGGTACCTAGACGCTTCTAATCATATCCACATGACTATTTCACCCTAAAGTCACCACAGTAATCAAGAGCACCAACATGTTTTGCGTCCGTACTTGTGGAACGCAATAATAACTGGTCAGTGTATATTAGACGTTGAACGAGCCTTGTTTCTGGTGCAAATTGATAATACGTACATCAAGTGACTTGATTGACTGGTCAAAGATGACATGGGCTGACCATCCGTGCAGGTCTTCCGTGACAGGGATACAAAACTGACCATTAAACCCTCCTTCCCAATGTCCAGTTATCTTAACCTCTGATTCGGCGTGCCCATTCGCCAGCAGCAGCAGTAGCAGCAACAGTCTCATCGTGGAGTTGAATGTTCAGATGACCTGTATGTAACCATATACTGTGACACATGTGACATATAGCTGCTTCACATCATATAGGTGATGCAAATTTTATTCCACCTCTGACAGGTTCGTATATTCAGAAAATGTCATTATTTTTCATATGTAGTATAAGTATTTCTTCCTTAAGTGGCATTTAGAAGCTGGTATGATGAAGTGAAACACTTTTATAGATAGACAACTTCTTTGATGCAGTAGTAGTTGCGACGTTTCGGTGTAGATCCTAACACCGTTATCAAGCAAATGATCATCATGTAGATCCTAACACCGTTATCAAGCAAATGGTCATCATGTAGATCCTAACACCGTTATTAAGCAAATGATCATCATGTAGATCCTAACACCGTTATCAAGCAAATGATCATCATATAGATCCTAACACCGTTATCAAGCAAATGATCATCATGTAGATCCTAACACCGTTATCAAGCAAATGGTCATCATGTAGATCCTAACACCGTTATTAAGCAAATGATCATCATGTAGATCCTAACACCGTTATCAAGCAAATGATCATCATATAGATCCTAACACCGTTATTAAGCAAATGATCATCATGTAGATCCTAACACCGTTATCAAGCAAATGGTCATCATGTAGATCCTAACACCGTTATCAAGCAAATGGTCATCATGTAGATCCTAACACCGTTATCAAGCAAATGATCTTCATGTAGATCCTAACACCGTTATCAAGCAAATGATCTTAATGTAGATTGTTGCAGTTATCAAGCAAATGATCTTCATGTAGATCCTAACACCTGCTATGAAGCAAATGATCTTCATGCAAATCCTAACACCGTTATGAAGCAAATGATCTTCATGCAGATCCTTACACCGTTATCAAGCAAATGATCTTCCGAAACGTCGCAACTAGTGGATATCTACTGCAACAAAGAGGTTGTCTCTGCTGTTAAGAGGAACGTGCGAATGCAAGTCGTTATAGTTGATCATTTAAACATGAAATCACCAAATACATTGCTGTTCACTGATATATGACGGTAAACTGTTCATCGACAGTACATAATATGATAATTGAGTAATATCAGCACATTTTTATGCTCTCAGGTGATGCAGCATTCGTCGCTCTGGTGGCTGCTGATGCTGGACTTGACACTGCAACGTACAGGAAGTGGGCAGTTGAGCAGATCAACTACATCCTCGGGGACAACAACTACGGCATCAGCTACCAGATCGGCTTCGGCTCCAAATACCCGAGGAGTCCTCATCACAGATCCGCGTACGTTCTTTCACCTCAAGACATGCTGGCAGTAGTATCATTTTGAACATTTCTGAACACATCATTGTGAATAATAATTGATGAGACAATTATGTTTGTTTGTTGCACACCCACAGGAAGAATCGTGGGTATAGTTCCTGTAACTTACCATTGACCTTATTCTCACACTCTCGATGAAACACCATCGTTGTATGAAGGGAATTATCTTCTTGCAAGATGAACAATACACAATGGCTACAACTGGACAAGGCTATGAAGAAAAAACTACTTCATTAAATATCCAATAACAAATTTATGATTTCCCAATCATCACATTCGTGTTCAAAACAATATTCAATGTCATAAATCTTCATGGACTCCAAGCTGTCATTCGACAATAACCATTACACGACGATCTTCACTCCAGTTCCTGCCCCGACCGTCCAGCTCCCTGCACAGAGGCCAACCTACACGCTTCCGGTCCCAGCCCCCAGCTCCTTGTGGGCGCCATAGTGGGAGGCCCTGGTAAAGATGACTCCTACAAGGACAACAGGGAGGACTACGTCCACAACGAGGTGGCCTGCGACTACAACTCAGGGTTCCAGTCTGCTCTAGCTGGTAAGTATGTCGACTCAGGTGTGAGGTGCAACCGGAATTGAAGGAAATCGAAAAGTTCATACAAAGATTAAGACTGCACGTCCAATGTCGATTTTTTTTAATGTTGGTAATTTATTACAATTTCTGTAATAGAACCTGATTATTAGATTTAATCATTTAGGTTAATTATGCTTTTAATTAACACAAATATTTTACTTCAGGTCTCACTCATCTTGTCAACACCAAGGAGCTGCCAGCCATTCCCGCACCAAAGTGTCATGGTTAAAAATATTTTTCTGTGAATAAAAAAATATTCATTGAATTGTCCATGTACTGTTGTTAAGTTATGGTCGATCGGTATAAATTTGAAAAAATTAATGACGTAAAGGCACGAAAGATCACATGAAAAGCTTATTTCATAGGTTCTGGTAAACATTTGCTATTGTACCTGCGAGTTATGTTTGCTTTATGTCTTGTATCTGTTTGTTGTTAGTTGTATTACGCCGCACTCAGCAATATTCCAGTTTTATGGCAATAATCGAGCCTGGACCAGACAATCCAGAGATCAACAACATGAGTCAACATATGTTATATTTGGGATTACACTTTCTCAGTAAAGTACAGATTCTAGTACTTTTAGGGGGTTGAGTTTAGGCGTCTGACTTTGTGTGCTGGCGATTAGGTCCCTGACTCTGAGGGTGTGGGTTCGAATCCCGGAGGGACTCAACCCCCCCAAAAGTACTAGAATCTGTACTTTACTGAAAAAGTGTAATCCCTTCTAAAATGGCATTGTGTATTTCACAACATGAGTCAACCAAATCAGTGAGGTAGACCAATTGATCCCTTTTGTCGCCTCTTAAGACAGGTGTGGGTTGCTAAAAACAATGCGGAAATCGAGTTTTCTATAAATCCCTAATTTGTCAACACATACACTGATAGAGAAACGTTAATTAACTGATACACTTTCAATTCAAAACAATTTTACACATAGCAAAGAACACTTGTACTAGTTCAGTGCATAATTTTGAATTGCAGAATCGGAAAATCCATTCCATTTCGGTAGCAACCATTAGGTTTTACTGGAATTTATCGAAAAGCCGACTGGTTTCTGAGAATCGGTTCGAAAGGCGTGTTCAGTAACAGGAACGCGAGTGGTGAGCGCTGAGCGTACATGTTCTACCGTCTTTTTAATCACTGTGCGAACCCACGCTAATATACGCTGGCCCAAGAGTGGCACTATATAGGACCATGTTTCCTCCGTCCACTCGTACTTCATTTCCAGACAATAGCTGAGCAATAGCGCTCACATACATGAGTTACATAGCGCTGACGTGTATTACTATTTCAGTAAGGGAATCCCGATTCAAAATGGCGCCGCTCACATGCGAGATAAACTGAGATGTTTGATGGCTTTGCAAATATGGCTATTTCGATAACGAAAATAGTGCGCATTGTAGGTTTAAGTACAAAGACGTGATACATATAAGTTTTCATGCGTAATAATCGTAACGGGTGCACGAAAGTGTGACAAAAGATATCCTCTATTGCGGCCTATAGAGGAGCTTCATAGCATATGTGGGCGCTATGTATCTTAGCTGAGACTTGGGTAGACAGGACAAAGACCTTTGATGTGAAATGGTATTATACTGGAGATGAGAGTGCCGTATTTACGATGCGAGTACCAATCTCCGACAGAGGTCTGGTAACCGTGATGCTTTTGAAATCAGCTTCACACGCACGCAAGCACGCACGCACGCACGCACGCGCACACACACATCATCAAACGTCCATCTCATTAAAGTTCTCAGGTGCCTTCAAGGTTTGGTTTTAAAAGGCTGTTCTTGTTAGCAAACAACACTAAACTTCTGTAACATTTCAAGTTTGCTTGTATGCTATAGTCCTTCAAGGTAGACATCATAACGTTATTGTTTTGAAGCCATTTTCTGCAGCATATGCTCAGAAATTTGATATCTGATTTCTCTAAAACAAAGGCGTATTGTGAACATGTACATAATGAGTATGTGGCACCCACTCCTAAAAAATCCAGTTCTGTTCCCTGCTGTAAATATACAAAAAAATCAAAATATCAAAAAAGAAACTTCACAAAATGTAATTTGAAACATAATGAATTATTTGTCTCTGATGATACATCTATGTATCCGAAATGGTATCCCTATCCTTCGACTCTAGAAAAACGTTAGCAAAACCCACTCAAACCCATCCATTCGTCGTGCAAATCTTTGCATCGAAGTTTTCTTCATATGCACGTCTTTGCATTGGTCTCAAGAATTGAAAAAAACACATTTAAACCACAGTTCTAACGGTACTTGAAATGCCACGATTGTCAAATGTGCGACGTGAACGTGCCGTTGGCATGTTGCAAGCGGGAAGATCAGTTATTGACGTCGCAAGAGCAACGGGATGCAGCCGTCATACTGTGTATGACTTGCAAGTTCGTCTACAACAAACTGGCACCACTTCTGATCGCCCAAGGTCACGAGCAGAAGACCGTCAAATCGTCCTACGTCACCTACGTGACAGATTTCTGCCGGCTACACAAACCAGGGCTGAGATGTTTAGATGACGACTGTCCTCACAGACCATTCGAAAACGGTTGCGGGCTGCCAATCCCCATTCTCGACGTCCATATCGTGGGCCAATATTGACGCCGTTTCATCAACGTCAACGTCTGCTGTGGGCCCAACGTCACCTCCGATGGACCCAGAGAGACTGGAATCGAGTCGTCTTTAGCGATGAATCCAGGTTTACCCTCAGATTCGCGGACAGCAGGCATAGAGTCTGGAGACGACGTCGTGAACGGTATGCCCAATGTTGTGTACAGGAAGTCCGACAGATTGGGGCGGAAGTTGCATGGTGTGGGGGTGCTTTCTGTGGGAACAACCGTTCCCGACTTCTGGTCATCCGTGGAAACCTCACAGCTGCTGCTTACTGGTGCTCACCCCTGAACTCGTTCCTTTCATGGCGGCTCATGGCCCAGGTCGACAGTTCCAGCATGATAATGCTCGGCCGCATACCGCGATGTTGACACGAAATTTCCTTGAAAACGCTGGAATCAACGTCATGGACTGGCCATCGAGATCCATTGACCTTAATCCAATAGAGCACGTTTGGGATGCACTTGGGAGGAGGCTTCGTGGTCTTAGGAACCAACCTCAGAATTTGCAGGAACTTGGCGCAGAATCCCCAACCACGTGTTGACAAGCATCAGGCAGTCGATGAGGAGACGATGTTTGGCAGTGGTGAATGCGCAGGGCGGCAATACACGATATTGAACTGAGAAATTTCGCATTTTTATTCTTGTGACTTGACATTCTGTATACCCATGTTTTGGAACGGCGGTGTAGTCTAATGGAACTGATTATGGCACTGTCAGTGTATCGAGTACATCACACACATCTCAGCAATGAAATAATAACAATGTCACCATCTTACCATCTCTTGTTCTTTTATAGTGCCCTGAAGAAAGAATGTGAAGTTTCTTTTTTGACTCAGTATATAAGACTTAGTACATTAAGTACGGCAATGTGTCTGCAGTAAATGATGGACAACGTTCCATCAGTAAATGCAAAAGGCTACCTTATTTCAGTACATGTAATGGATATGTCCTTTCAGTTATTTCAGTAACTATATTCCAGGAATCTCATCAATTCTTTTTCGTACTGGGAAAGTGGGCTAGGTGAACTAGCTATCACCACTGCATGAACAGATCTGACCTGTCTATGGCACATATGGCCTACATTTATATTGATAAAGTACATCTGGACTCACAAAGGCTTGGAATCATCCGTCAGTGGAATTTGCCAATACCCTTTCATTAGGTTAAACGTTCTGATGTACTTAACGTGACTGATCGTGACGTCATCGATTCTTGGAAAGAATCAGTTTGAGAAAGAACGATCACAAGTTCCATGTCTGAAAAGTATTTATAACTACCATCATGCTTACACACAAAAATACCGGAGGAACTATTGTTTGGTTCAACATCTATTGACCTTCCTTCGTGGAGGTTTCAAGCTGATCGGATCAATAGCATAGGGATGTTGTTTCACATGGTGTCACCTATATCTACATCATGACACGCTCAATCTGCACGGCCAGATATAACCATACACAAGTGAACAAACTCTTAAAAGAATCTCGAAGCTTGAAGAAGATGATAAATGATTTGTACTAATTTCTCTTCAGAATTGATTATCTTAGTCAGCTTAGTCTAGAAAAAGCAGAAAGTTATTAAAAATTTTCATTACAATTCTCAGCCGTATCTCAGACTGATACATTAAGTGCAGGACCAATAGTGGCAATACTCTAAATAGAAACATTCCATTTCTTTCTAGTTTTATTGGCATGTCAAAGCTGTATCATTTTACGATGGCCTAGTGTTAGCACAACATAGTCAGTTACATAACTTTCTGATAAAAAACATATGGCCCGTAGCAGTCGTAGTTGACCGGGGAGTGCCGATAACGCTAGGAATTTATCACCCGGCTGTCATGTTTACCTTTATCATGATGATTAGACAAATAGCTGGAATAGTGCTGATTGTGACGTTATCATTATGAACTCTTTTCATTTTGTCCATTTCTATTAAATTACCCATAGCAGCCTCACAAACTCCCAAAGCCCAAACCAAATGATAAAACATTCACTAACAAACCCATCTCCTAGAATTAACATGAGGCCAAGACCAAAAGGATTATAAACATAGTCCTTCACAAGCCAGAAAACATATGAGGACCTTCACCTATTCCAACCCGGTAAGCATATTTCAAGGGCCAAGATCACTTGAGGGATCAAAATTTGATTGTGCTTCAACATGCTGGGGAAAACAAGAACCACACATAAAAATTTCTTTAGAGTACCCTGCAGGTACAGCAATATATGTTCATTACGGAATGGCGTGACTGGACATGAGGTCGCACCTCATGTCTTATGCGCCATATATTACTGCAACACAGTCACAATGGAAGAACAAACTAGCTTGTCTATACAGATTCAAGGAAAGTATTCAGGAATTCGGGAAAGTATTTGACAAAAGTTTGATTTGGATTTGGTATTTTAGATATATGAATCCATTACTAAATCCTTTAACTTTCTGCTTCAAGAGATATGTTTATACATGTACTTGCTCTTCTAAGAATGTTGAAAGACATATTCACCACTGAAATATTCATTTCCAGAAGAAATAATAATACTTTGAAGCTTCTCAACCAAATGGTTGCCTCTCTTACCAGTATTTAATAATGAATAACTATTTAATGGAATAACTGTTCAATGGTCAAGCTTGCTTCCTAGGC